TAGTGAAGGCCTTTTAGTGACAGGCTGGAACATCTTGTTCAGGCAGACTGGGCCTAACACCATCCATCCTAAAGGCAACTGCTGAGCTACGGGCGATCCCTTAGGACCTTAAATCTGGTTGCTAATACGGAACAGCATGGGACAATCTGCGCCGATAAGCATGACGATGTCTGTTTCCAAGTCTAAAGCTGGAATTAGAATCTTGGATGCCTTTGAGATGAGGATGGGCTTGTACCACCTCCTTTGTGGCTATTTGTTCTTTGTTTCTGGGGATCAGGCTGCATTCTATAAGGTCAGGAAGTTCATAACTGGCCTTTTGTCCAAAAGGCGAAATTTTGAATTTTGTCGCAACTCTGCCATACATCTTATTCTTTCCAGAACAAGTGGATATGGTGTATTCCACTGTCTTGCTGTGAAGGTTGAACATGTCAAAAAACTCTGGGGTTGCAAGAGAAGCATCACTTTGGGCATCCAAGGCGACGTAGACCTTTTTTCTATTCCACGGCTGCTTGTCTGGATACACCTCTGCCAGGCAGATTGGGTGACAAATCCTGGGCTTACTGTTGTTTTGGCAAAGCTTGGTGCAAGCAACAGCAGGAGCTTTGAGGGCTACCTGAGGTTCTGTAGGCTTTTGGTCATCTTTGGTTTCTTTTTTGACAGGAGACTTTGATTTTACTTTGAATTGAGTAGAGTCGAAGTTGTGCATTGCAGAGCAATGCTTGAGGCTATTGCAGTGTTGACATTTCACCTTATCCTTGCAGTCTTTGGAGAAGTGAATAGTGGAGCCGCAACATCTGTAACACACCTTGGCCTCTTGAACTATTTGGAGCCGTTCTTTGTAAGGCTTCTTCGCGAACTCTCTGCATTCAGCTAGGCTGTGTGGCCTTTGATGAATGGGACAGGTGATGCTGCTGTTGCTGACTGGTTGAACCGAAGCTGGAGGAGTAGTGTCTGTCATCTTGACACTCAAGTTCCTTTTAAGTTCTTTGCCCTGCACTTTATCTTCTTTGGAAGTCTTGGACTTGCTTTAGTAACAAAATCCACCAAAAAGTTGAAGGGCGGGTATACATTTGCATTTGCCTCCTTGTACTTGAACACCTCTTTCCCCCCAGCTTCTCGAAGGGGAAAGGGAAGTTTGCAGAGAATGGCACTCTGCGACGTGTGCTGGTCCAGACATGCCAATCCTGGCAGCTCTGGATTTCCTTTGGCTGAAGCTAGCTCTAACAAAAGATCACTGAAGTCCCAAAGCTGTTTGCAATCTTTCATATTCTGCGATGGGAACCTGTTGAGTCGATCCATGAGGGATACTTCTATCTCGGTGCTTGCACCGTAGCGCTGGTCCAAGCGAGACCACACTGTGGACAATGCTCTTTGGGGGTCTGCCACATGAGCAGCATAAAGTCTCTTTATTTGCTCGGCTGAGCTGGGTCCAAGCCATGCCATAAGAAGGGACAATTCTTCATCCGCTTCTAGCTTGAAATCTCGGATGGCCCTCTTGAACGTAATTTTCCACACGAGGTAGTCATCCAGCCGGTCAGTAAATTTCTGGACCCCTTTGTCTCTGTTGTCTCTTCTTAGATTTCGCAGGAGAGAGCCCAATTGCGAATCTGGTGTGTAGGGATACATCTGAGGAGTCTGCTGTGGTGTGACAAAGTCAATGTTCTTTGGTTGAACACGTCTTGTCATGATGGTAGGAGATGCTGGGTTCAGCAGATTGCTGGCAGGCAGTACCTGTGAAGCTTTCGTCTTCAGTGAAGGGACAATTGGCTTGGTATGCAGAGATGGATGTGGTGGTTCACTCCCGGCCATGCCTTGCCAATCTGAGGGGACATCTGGATCCTGTTGAAATATGTCATCCTTTCGTTCCCACGTGGACAAGTGGTATCTCTGAGGCCTAATTACAGGGATGGACTCTGACAGAGACGATGGCACCCTCCTGGCCGTACTTTGCTGCACTTTGGGAGAATAGGCTGGCTTTGAAGTCGCGAACACTGGAACAGGTGAGCGATCTTCAGGATGGTCAAAGGAGACATGCCTCTGCACTACAGGTGGTTCCAGATGCAGGGGTGCTGAGACCTTTGCTATAGGCTCTTGTGTTGGCAGGAGGCTAAGGTTTTCCTGGGTTAGTTCCTGTGATAGGGCTTTGGCTAGAACGTTAGCTCTGGCTATCTTCTGTGCTGCGTCTCTTTTCATTTGCAGCAAATCTAGGTCCTGTTGTAGCTTATCTTGCTTGGCTTTAGCTGCTGCAAGCTCTATTTCTTGCTGGGCCTTAGCCTGTTGTAGGGGGAGTTCCTCCTCATTGAAAACAAGATGTTGCCTAGCCATTTCCACAGATGCCTCTGCTTCCAAAACCTCTTTCCTTATTTTCAAACGGATAGCCTCTCTGTTGTAATAGGCTGCTTTGGAAGATGTACTAAGAAATGAATGTGTGGAATGGGAGGAAATGCTATGCCTAGACGAATGTTTGGATCTAATGCTGGCAGCCTTAGAGGAACGCTTAAGCAGACTGGATCTAAGGCTTACACATGGGAAGCCTTGATCCCTTTGCTCTGGACCTTTAGATAAGGAACTAGGCTGTGATTCAAATAGAACCGCGCTGTAACACCTCCTCTCTTTTGTAGGCTAAAAGAAATTTCTTTAGCCCTATCTAAAGACGCTGGGTGGGAGGATTTGACTCTAATTTGTGGGACCTCAAAGTTTTGACTTGCCATAATGCAAAATTCAAAGGAAACTTAACCCACACTTTAAACAGTACAAATGCAATAGAATTTAAGCATACAATGGAAAAGGCACACAAAAAGGCAATGCAATTCTTGAAAAAAGACAATTACAATAGTTGCTTTCTTTAGAAGGTAAACCTTGCTTTGTTTAGCCTATTGAAGGCTCTCAGGAACTGTTGCTGGGCAGACTTCAAGAGAAGGCTGGCTCCTCCCACCCCTCAACCCTGGAGGGCTGAAGGCTGGCTCTGCAAAAAAGGCGGGAAGTGCAGAAGGCTGGAAACTTTGCAAAAGCTTGCTTGCTTCTGGCTGGATGTTGCAATTACTGTAGAAGCCTTGCTTCTGGAAAAGGGCGGGAAACTGTAGAAGAAACAGCTTGCAGAAAATGGCTGGAAACTTTGCAAAAGTATCAATCCTGCAGAGAGCTGGAAACTGTGCAAAAGGATGAGCTGGAAACTGAGCAGAAATAACTGTAGCTTTGCAGGTTTGTTTGCAGCAGCTGCAAAGACAAGTTGTTACAATTTATCCACTTCAGCAAAGGCTTGCAAGGAGCTGGTGGAAACCCTGCAAAAGTATCAATTTTGCACAGAGCTGCTGGTGCAAAGGCTAGTTGTAGCAAATTGCTGAGCTTGAGCAGCAAAAAGGCAGGAAATGTGTCCACTTTGTAAAGCCTGGGCTTCTCCTCTGCAGGCAAAGGCAGGCTTCCTTTTGATTCTATCTTTTCTTTAGAAAACTATAAGCTTGGCAAAAATAAGACCCTATGGCTCCTTCTTTTCCCTTTCTAGCACTTCTGGAAAAGAAGGCTTCTCTTAGCACTCTTATAAATAAGAGTGTTTACTCTCTTAGCACTCTTC